CAGAGAAATATTACACGAAATTAAAGAAACTGTGGGATGAATTGGCGTGTTTGATGCCAGTACCAGTTTGCATTTGTGCGGCTTCAAAGGAAGTATCAGATCTGACAAGCTTCAATCGTTTAATGCAATTTTTAATGGGACTAAACGATACATTTGACAACATAAGGAACCAAATTTTGGTAATGGATCCACTGCCTTCAGTGAATAAAGCTTATTCAATGGTACTTAGAGTTGAGAAACAAAGGGAAGTGCACATCATCTTCCCAGAAACAAATGACAACACAGCCATGCTTGTTAAGACTACAGAGTATAGGAGAGATAATGGAGGAAGATCTAACTACTATAGAGGACTAGGCAGGGGACGTTTTAATAGAGGAAGTTATAATTCAGCAAGAGGAAACATCAGAAGGTATGGAGTCACAGATAGGGAGAATTCACATTGTGATCATTGTAACATGAATGGACATACAAGAGATACTTGTTTTAAACTAAATGGATACCCAGATTGGTATAAAGATCTGAAAGAACAGAGATCTAGAGGTCTCAATGATGGAAGATATTTGGCAAACATGGCAGAAACACCATTAGACATTAGTGAAGATCAGATGAATGAAATCAGGAAAAATGATGCAATAAGCATAGCAGACATTGTGAAGACAGAAGTTCAAAGAGCCTTGAGGGGGAAGACACTGATGGATTTGGAGAATAAGGTGAACTTTACTCATGTCAAGGAATACGCAGGTATGAGTTTCTATCACTCCTTCTTGGCTAAACTTGATTGTTTGAAACCTGGTACTTGGATCATTGACACTGGTGCTAGTAATCATATTTGTGGTGATAATAAACTGATGACAAACTTGAGAACCACAACACAGCCTATACACGTTTATCTACCAGATGGGACCACTAAACCAGTTAATGAGATAGGAAATGTGGAATTGAACTCGCAGTTATGTCTTACTGATACACTATACATTCCTAGCTTCAAATTTAATCTCCTATCTGTACCCAAACTCACCCAAAGTGCACATTTAAAACTGATATTCTACCCTTATTTCTGCCTATTGCAGGACCTGCAGAGTGATAGTATTTTAGCTGTTGGCAGGCTTATAGGAAAATTGTATTTGTTGGATGACTCCAGCTTCCATTCTAGTAACAAAGAAGACATTAGGCAGCTCATTATCAAGTCTGAAAATTCTAGTTCCTTTCCACTTTGTAATCACATTTCTGATATCAATAAAAATTCCGTTTTATCCAGTAATGATTCACTCTTAAAATGGCATAGCAGACTTGGCCACACCTCATTTCACACTCTACAACACTTAAACTTCCTGAAACATTCCTCAAAGGAACTTGAGATTTTACAACACTGTGAAGTTTGTCACAAAGCAAAACAACAGAGAAATCCATTTCCAATCAGCTCCATTCACACTAATGATATTTTTGAAACACTTCATGCTGATCTTTGGGGACCCTACAGACAAATCTCTTTAACTGGAACTCCATATTTTTTGACTGTGGTTGATGATTTCAGCAGGGCAACCTAGCCCTTCTTACTCCATCACAAGACACAAGTCACTAAAACCCTTGATTGTTTCTTCAAAATGGATGAAAATCAGTTTGA